TCTGAGACTCAAGGCAGTGTCTTAACTGTAATCCCCTGTAAAATCAAAGGAAAAAAGCAGGTCACATACTTTGAATATACAGTGGCACAGGATCGTGCTATGCCCAGAATGTGGGGACTGAATCCAAATGCAAAAACAAAGCGCCTTTATTCAAGCTCAAACTTTGGTTCCCTGTCTGTCCAACGCAGCAGTGAGAGCAGAGAGCTCAGAGCTTGGTTGGGGTAGGGTTTTGATCATAGCAGAGGTTGGGGTTAGGAGATTTCTAGGGTTCAGGACCCTAATTGATTGACATTGTTTAGGGGTATCTTGGCAAAAGGGGATATAGGTGTGTGTTGGGCTAAGGGACATCTGGCAATTGATCTTATCTATAACAGTTGAAACGTTAGGTATTTTTCTCCTAGATGGGAATGTTAGGTATTTATCCCTTGGATGCTGATTGGCCCGTTCTGGGGTGGTGCCAGTTTATGGCTTTTCCTGGAACTGGGTGTTGCCTTAAGGCCTACTCTCTAGCTGGTTTTTATTGAGCCTGTGAGTGCAGTTGTATAGCCAAGCTGCCCTGGGCCCCACAATAGGCATTACAAATTCACACGGGAGGAAAGGAAGCATAGTGAGAAAATACTGGACCATACATAGCAAGACTAAAAACCAGCCAGGCAAAATCTAACTTCTGCATCTCCATGCTGTTGTGATGCTGCATGTCGGGGGACCCTGGCTGGCTAGGTTATCCCATGAGTGAGGGAGAACATGCCAAGGAAAACATCCAGGGCACATGTAGTGGTGGGCGGAGGTACGTCATTCACAACCCAGGTGCTGCATCCGCGTGGAAATTGTAAGTAAACTGCAAAAACTCTGGGTTTGGTGTCCCGGGTTTCAGCACCAAAATGTTAGTAAATTGATGGCTGAAACTGCAAGGAGACAATTAAGCCCTAGAGGGTGAGCTATCCTGGACACCTTGAGCTACTTAGAACAAGAGCTCTGCCCTGAAGGTGTCCCAGACACCTGGAGCTGTTTTGCACAGCTCTGATGGCTTGGACTGCAAAGAAACAGCCCAACCTTGGAAAGGCAGGTTTTCTGACTTCTCAGGAGGGTCAGGCCTGGAACTGCCTCAGCAGGGAAGGGTACCCTTACTCTTCAGGAAAGTCAGGATATACCTGGTGTGATGGGCGATGGTCTCCCCACAGGACACAGCAATCCTTACGGGGCTGGAACTTGTCCCCTTTATTCAATTACATTTGTATCAGCTTTCTGTTGATGGTGTCCTTCACTGCTTAAGCTTTTCTTTAATTCCTTTTCACAAGTTGGAAGCTTAGCTGGGGGGGGTCTTGCCCTGAGGCCACCACTCCATTTATTCCATTTAGCATCAGGCTTTTCTTGAAACTTACTATCTCCTTGTGCACTGACTTAGCTCCATGATACTTCCTGTTGCTTCTTTTCTCCTCAAACAGTGAATTTTGTATTTCTTTTTCCAGTTTGCTCCTTTTTATTATAGATCTGCATATGAGAGATTACTAATAACCACACAACACAATCAGGCACCACTGAGAGCAATGCTAGGCTCCTGCTAGTGTGGCCCATCAAGCCCTGCTTACAGCATTCAACTACTTTCCGAATCCAAAGTTCCAAAGTCCACATTCCACAAACAAGCAGCATGGTCAGGCCTGTCAACAGCGATACCCCACTCCTGATACCAACTTCTGTCTTCGTCACTGCTTTATTGCTATGAAGAGACACCATAACCAAGGCAGCTCTCATAAAAGAAAGCATTTAATTGGGGGCTTATTTCAGAGGTTTAGCCCATTATCATTGTTAGTTTTATGTGGTGCTGTTTCATTAAGTGGTGCTGTTTACCATGGGAGCAAAGCCACGAGGTACAACAAAGCCCACTATAAGAGTTTGTTAAGGAAAGATATGCTTAGGCCTATGGAAATGATTGTACAAGGAGAGAGGAAGAAGAGGAAGGGGAGAGGAGTCTGTGACCTGCTTTTTATGGATTCCCCCAACACATGCGCAAATGGGCTTATGTAGCTATGCCACGCATGTGCATAGATTATGTGATCACACTGCGTGCAAATGAGGTGGCCATGCAGCTCATGGATTACATAGGATGCAAGGCCCCTTCTTGATTGTTTAAAATTGCTTGGCTACTGGACAGTGCATGTGCAATCATGCAGCAGGGGGAGTGGCCAGTGGCCAGGAATTCCTACAGTCACCACATCAGGGAACATTGTGGCTTGTATGGTACTGGAATAATAACTGAGAGCTGAGAGGTAAATACTGGGTTTGGCATGGGCTTTTAAAACCTCAAAGCCTACCCCCAGTAACATATTTCTTCCAAGAAGGCCACACCTTCTAATCCTTTCAAACAGCGCCACTCTCTGGTACCTAAGCATTCAAATAGATGTGCTGATGGGGACCATTCTTATTCAAACCACCACACTTTAAATCATATTCAAAGTAGTCAAAGTGTAGTGTCATTAAAAAAAACATTGATAAACCAGGACTGTGATACAGAGAAAACCCTGTCTCGAAAAAACAAAAAAAGCTGGGCGGTGGTGGCGCTCGCCTTTAATCCCAGCACTCAGGAGGCAGAGGCAGGTGGATCTCTGTGAGTTCGAGGCCAGCCTGGTCTACAGAGCGAGATCCAGGAGAGGCACAAAGCTACACAGAGAAACCCTGTCTCGGGAAGGAAAAAAGAAAAAAAAAACTAAAAAACAAAAAAAAATGATAAGATTAATGAAGTTGCTTGTAACTTGTACCTATAATCTAGCACTTGGGAGACTGAGACAGGAGAGTTGACATGAATTTTAGGCCAGTCTGAGAGGTACATAGTGAGTTCTAAGTCAATCCTTATTTCAAAAAGAAAAAGAAAAAAAAGACATTTAAGGATTTGATTTGAGGAAGGACAGAACTGTTTCTAGATAGGGGAAGGATAGTAGTCACTAATAATTTGGAGTAATCTTAAAGGGACACAGAAGTTTTGAGAAAAAAAATTTCACTTGACTACAGAGACATTTGGGAATTAAGGAAATGAGTCTTAAGCTGGGCCAAATCTTCAACTACACTAAATTGGATAGGGGTGTACTAAAGAATGTATGGACTAGGAATGTTGATTGTGTAAAAGTGAAAGCATTTCATGAGTCTGGAGTCTGGGGTCTCTAACTATTGTAGAAATAAAGCTGAAAGTTATTCTTCATTGTTTTACATAGACTAGACATGGGAAGATATATTCAGATAGTAATTGTATTGATTTCAGGGCTGCTATTACAAAGTACTCTAGACTGGGTGGCCTAATCAGCAGAAATTAATTTGAACAGCTCTGGAGACTGACCGCAGGTAAAGGTGACAGCAGAGTTGAGTTTCCCAAGGCCTCTGCGCAGCTCGCAGCAGCAGCAGCAGCAGCAGCAGCAGCAGCAGCAGCAGCAGCAGCAGCGTCTTCTTGCTGTGTCCACACACACTCTTGTCTCTGCAAACTTCCTCTGCTGTCATGTTGTTTGCTCATGGCTGCTCTTGACTTCCTGGAACCTTAATTACCTACATCAAGGCTTTTTCTACCACTAAGGTCACAGTGACATTGAGGCTTTAACACACGAATTTTGGGGAAACACTTTGGTCCGTTACAGTGATTATTGGGTTTTTGAAAGTATATCGTTGCTGGAGAGATAGATTTGTGGTTAAGTACTATGATTTAAAAGTGTAGTTATGAAAAAAACAAATAATAATGGAAATTTCATAACTATTTTTTAAATGTACAGAAAAATATACAGTGGATAAAATGTTACTATTCTGCTTTCCAGGTTTGTTGTCATTGATGCAAGCCTACCTAAAGCCAGCCAGCTAGTCAGCCTTCTGCAAGCTTTGTTTCCCTCCGCCCTTCCTTCCTCCCTCCCTCCCTTCTGTCCTTCCTTCCTTTCTCTTTTGTTAAGATTTACTTGCTTATTTAGACAGGGTCTCTCTATGAAGCCCTAGCTGTCCTAGAACTTGCTAGGTAGACCAGACTGGCCTGGAACTAACTCAGAGAGAGATCCACCTGCCTCTGCCTCCAGGTGCTGGGACTAGCAGTAGGCACCACCACACCCAACTATTTTTATTTTAGTGTATGGGTGTTTTGCCAGTGTGTTTGTCTGGCATGTATGTCTATGTGTGGCGCCTCATAGGTTACAAGAAGGCATCAGATACCCAGGAACTAAACAGTTGTTAGCTGCCATGTGGAGACTGTACATCACATCCAGCTTTTCTTTCTTTCTTTTTTTTTTTAATTAAAAAAAAAATTTATTCATTTATATACCAACCACAGGTCCCCGTCGTCCCCCCCCCCACCTCCAAGGGTGAGCAAGGTGTCTGACCATAGGTAATGGGATCTAGAAAGCCAGCTCATGCACCAGGGATGGATCCTGATCACATTTTCAGGGGCCTCTCAAGCAGACCCAGCTACACAACTGTCTCCTGTATGTAGGGGGTCTAGTCCAGTCCCATGCAGCAGGTTCCACAGCTATGGTCTAAAGTTTGTAAGTTCCTATGAGCTGAATTCAGTTGTCTCTCTAGATTTCCCCATCGTGATCTTGATTTCCCCACCCCACCCCTGCTCATTGAATCCCTCTTCCCTCCACATCCAGCTTTCCTGCAAGAAAAACAAATGCTCTTACTACCCGCTGAGTCATCTCTTCAACCTCAGTATCCTGGAATTTTATGCCATTATCATTGGCTTTTGTTGTTGTTGCTTGCTGGTTGGTTTGTTTGTATTAAAGTTGGTAAATATTGCTATAGATAATATACTGTTAAATATTTTTAAAGTGTGATACTTTGAATTTTGAGCTTGGGGAGGTCCCTAAGGGTTTTCATATGTATCATCTTGTTAGCTCTTTCCCATAGTATACCTTTCCTTTATCCTTTTTAAGGCAAACTGAAAGTATACTTTTTATATTGCTTAAGTGGGCATTTTACTCTATTGTGACATATTGAAAGAAATATCACTGATCAAAAATATACTTTTTTTTTTTTAGCCTGAAATGGTTGTAACAAATAATCTACTGGATCTGCCACCCCCCTCTCCTCCAAAACCAAAAACCATTGTTTTACCTCCCAACTGGAAGACAGCCCGAGATCCTGAAGGGAAGATCTATTACTACCATGTAATCACAAGGTAAGAGGTTTCCCTGGGCGTCCCAGATCTAGTGTGACTTGGTCAGTTATGCTGCCAGCATGGAGTTTGATAGTTGTTGGCTTCCCACTGACCTACAGGACTACTGAATTTCTAAAATTTCTTCTAGGAAGGGCAGGGCTGTGTGTGTGTGCCAGGTCACATGTCTTTGAGGGATGGATGCACACATGAGCACTCAAAGTCAGTCTAAGGTGGTGTTCCTCAGAAGTCATCCAGCTGTGTTTTCTTTGTTTAATTTGCTTCTGAGACATCTTCTCACTGGCACTTGGAACTGGCTAATTCGGCTAAGGCTGGATGTCCATCAAGCTCCAGAGGACCACCAGTCTTTTTTCCCCCAGTGCTTGGATACAAGTATGACACCATGTCCAGATTTTTATGTGGATTTTTGGGATAGAACTCAACCTAGCTATCTCTCCATGTGTGCCCCCTGACCCCTTTTGACACAGGGATTCATGTAGCCCAGGCTGGCCTTGATTGCCTGATCCTTGAATGCCTGATCTCAAGTGCTGGGATTAGAAATGTGCACTGCTGTGCCCAGCTTCATAATCACATCTGAAAATGCATGATAGACTTTTTGTTCTTTTAAAATATGTGTTGGTATATCCATCCCATTGCGTTTATTTATAGTGTGTATGTGTGCATAGTACCCAATGTACTATGTCATGTATGCAGATGTCAGAGGACAATGTGGAGGAGTTATTTCTCTTCTACAGTATGAGTCCCAGGATTTCAAGTCATTAGGCTTGATAGCAAGTGCCTTTTCTTTCTTTCTTTCTTTTTTTAATTTATTTTATTTTACAATACCATTCAGTTCTACATATCAGCCATGGGTTACCCATTCTCCCCCCTCCCACCTTCTCCCCTTACCCTCAGCCCACCCCCCATTCCCACCTCCTCCAGGACAAATCCTCCCCTGAGGACTGCGATCAACCTGGTAGACGCAGTCCAGGCAGGTCCAGTCCCTTCCTCCCAGCCTGAGCCAAGTGTCCCTGCATAGCAAGTGCCTTTTCATTGCTAAGCCATTTCAACAGCCCCTTTGGTGTATGGTATGTGTTTTGTTTTGTTTTGTTTTGTTTTGTAAGACAGGGTTAACTCTGTAGCTCTGGCTGCCTGAAATTGACTGTGTAGACACAGGGGTGTCCTTGAATTCACAGAGATCTCTGCCTATCTCTCCTGAGATCAAAGGCATGTGCCACCACATCCAGTCTACCATTTGGTGTGCTTTTAACTTACAGAATTTTTAAGAAAACTAAAGAATTTTGGTGGAATATTTTGTTTGTTTTTCAAGATAGGGTACTATGAAAGCCAGGCTGGTCTGGAACTGAGGATGACTGCCTCTACCTTCCAAATGCTAGAATTATAGGCATGCGCCACCAAGCCCCATTGAGGTTATGGAGGTTAAATACAGAGCTTTGTGCATGCTAGGCAAATATTCAGCCAGCTGAGCTATATCATGAGCCCTCATTGTGTTTTCTTTTTGTTTTATGAGACAGGGTCTGGCCTTGAACTCTCAGCAGTCTTCTCTCTCAGCTTGCAGAATGCTAAGATTAGAAGTGTGAGTCTACATCCAGCTTGGGGATTTTTAAAAAGGTAGTGACAGGGCTGGTGAGATGCCTCAGTTGGGTGAAAATGTTTGCCACCAAGCCTGATAACCTGAGTTCAATCCTTAGGACCCTTGAGTTGGAAGGAGAGAAACCTGGCTCCTAAAAGTTGTCCCTGACCTTCACACATGTCACCTGCGCACCTGTACACAAATAGTCATAACTTTTTCTCTAAGAGGGATCTAATCTAACATTGTAGATGTCAGTAGTCTCAAGCAAACCTTTTCTGTAAAAGATTAGGAAATAATTCCTCAAGCTTTGTTGATTAGGCAGTCATTGCCATAATTGTTCAGTTTTGTTGGTATTATATAAGCAATTATAGGCAATTACTAATCCTCCTGATTCTACCTCCCCAATGCTGGGATTAAAAGTGTTTGTAACAGTAGGGCTGGAGAGATGGCTCAGTAGTTAAGGAGTACTTATTGTCCTTTCAGAGCATCCACGCTCAGTTCCCAGAACCCGCATCAGTGCCTCACAACCACCCACCTCTAATTCCAGCTCCAGGGGATTTGACACCATGTTCTGGCCTCTCTGGCCACCAGTACATGCACACATGTATGCACATATGCATTCTCTCTCTCTCTTCCTCCCTCCCCCCCAAAATTTAATAATTTTTTTTTAAAATATGTGCATCACCAAATCTAACCTTTTAATTTTTTTGCCAGTTGATGATCTTGAAGATGTAATATGTGACAGCTCATCTGTATTTCCAGTCTTAGTGTTGAAATAGAACATCTCTGTTAGATTACCAGCCATTTCTCCTCATTTTATGTTCATATTGTTAACCTATCTTCATGGATACTAGAAATAACTTTTGTTTATAATATCTTATGAAGAAGTTTACATTTTTCATAGGCACAAATCCTGTCTCACTTTCTCTCTGTAGTCCTTGGAGAGATTGCTTAGGGGCAAAGAGCACTTCCTATTCTTCTATAGGACCTGAGTTTGACTTCCAATATCCATGTCAGGTCCATAACTCTAGCTTTAGGGGATGTAATGTAATGCCTCTGGCCTCTGCAGGCACCTTCACTCACATGCACATACATACCTGCATGCAGACATATGCACCCATACATAATTTACACGCCTGTAATTCCAGCACTCAGGAAGCAGAGACAGGCAGATCTCTGTGAGTTCGTTTGAAGCTAGCCTGTTCTACAAAGCGTGTTCCAGGACAGCCAGGGCTATGCAAGAAACCCTGTCTTGAAAAAATTTAAAAAATAAATAAATAAACATACACACGCATATATATATATACACATACATATATATATATATCCTTATTATTATTAAAATATCTTTAGTGCCTATGGTGGTACATACCTGTAATTTAGGTGTGTACTTTAACTCAAAAGATCTTGAGTTGAAGGTCATCCTGAGTACATAGTGAGGTTCTACAAAAAAAAAAAAAAAATGAAAAGCAAAAAAATTTATAAAAATGAGAACTCCTTATGTTGCTGACTGAATGTATAGTGACTTTACAAATGAATGTCTGCAAACTTAATTAGCACTTTTTTCCCCACACAAAAATAAGCTTTCCTCTTACCTTTCTTTTCCTCTTTCCCTCTTTCTTCTTCCTCCTCTTACTTATTTAAAAAAAAAAGAAAGAAAGAAAAAGAAAATAGCAGTCTCACTATTAGCATATGCTGACCTCGAACTCATGATCTTTTAGCTTCTGCCTCCCACATGCTTGGGATTTTGAGTGTTCTCTAACCATGCATAGTACAAGGCCAGTTTTTAAAGGTGCATGATAATTCTTCCAGATATTTAAAAAAATAAATAAATAAATAAATAAATTTGTTTCCACACTAAAATTTACAGATGCTCATGCTTCATTATGACAGTAGAAATGCTGTTGTTGTGCAGGTTCATAGATTGCATCTGAGCCTGCTCTCCACTCACTTAGAGTGGGTCACATCAAGATTAGTGTGGTAGGAGAGCCAAAAAGTACAGTGACAGTATTGACCTGCCAGAAAAGATGCCAGCTCTTTGTGGCTTTTTGTTTATATTTTGGTTTACTTATTGTGTGCCTGTAGTTGTGCGGGGGTGGGCAGAGACAGAGAACACAAACATGCTTTGGATACATTTAGAGATCAGAAGAAAAATTTTGGGAATTTGTTCCTGCCATCCACTTTTTTCTTTCTTTCTTTTTGTTTCACCCCTAGACACAGTTTCTCTGTGTAGCTTTGTAACCTGTTCTGGGTCTCACTGTGTAGACCAGGCTGGCCTCAAACTCGCAGAGATCCGGTGGCTCTGCCTCCCAAGGGCTGGGGATTAAAGGCGTGCTCCGCCGCCACCGCCACCACCACCACCCAGCCTCACTTTTTTCTTTTTTAATGTGTACGGCTATTATGCCTGCATGTATGTCTATAAACCACTTGTATTCCTGGTGCCCACAGGCATTAGAGCCCTGGATAGAAGAGTTACAGGTAGTTGTGAGCTGCCATGTAGGTGCTAGGAATAGATTCTGGGTCATCTGTGACAGTAACTAGTGCTCTTGAGAACTGAGCCATCTATCCAGCGCCCCCACCCCACCCCCACCCCGTGTG